CGATTTCTTTAAAGCGCGTTTAATTCATAAAAGTTTTAGTATTTGATGTCACTGTAGACTTTTATCAAACGAAAAGTGTAATTAAACAAAGCTGCGTTTTTCTACTTTAATTCAAAAGGTACAATGTAGTACTATTTTATCATACAGCAAAACAAATTTATTTGGGTTATTTTTTGCAAAAATTGCATTGCAAAAATTTTTGTAAAAAGTTAAAATATTAAATTATTTTTATTTTATAGGAGCAACTTATTTTTTACAGATATCTTAATAATTTTTAGATTTATATATCTTACTTATATTTCTTTTGTTTTTAAATTAAAACAAATATTAAAGCTTTACTTACCAATATTATGATTTTCATACGAGTATTTTACAATATATAGAATGTTATAAATATGATCTTTCGTTTTTTTGCAAGAGAGCGCAGTATTATATATTCTGAATCTTACTTATTTTCATTTAAATAATGGAAACTATTTTTTAACTTCTCTGGTCATTTTTATGCAATGACATTTTTTGTTTTCCCGTCAAAAAAAAATAATAACAATTACTTTCATTAGCTGACAATATAAATTAGAGATATTTGAACTGTTAAATTTTTTTATTATAAAAATTTTTTTGATTACGTTGATTTATTTTAAATTGCTAAGTTTGCTGAATTGGATATGGATAAAAAGGAAATATCATTTTATTTTGCATTTGATTTTTGATAACGAAACTTTTAAAATGTCGGAAATTCAATACCAATTAGAACCTGTTAAGGTTATGAAAAAAAAGTACAAGAATGCACTAAACAATACAGTTGACAGTAGTATCAGATATGAAAATTCATGAAAGGATATGTGAGATCCTGGTTTTGCATTACAAGTACAATTAATAGCAGCACAAATTGGCATTATAAATTTTGATTATAAGTTTACTGTTCAATATTTTATAACCATCTAAATAAAAACATGAAGTACATATATTTTTGCCCATTTTATACAACTAATATTTAACAAAAATACAGACAAGTTATTATTAATTAATGCAATAATTAACGCATTAATTAATGGCAATAATTCTAGATTGATGGTAATTTAAATTGTCAAAATGTCATAACGCACGTTAAAAAACATATTATATTTGGTATTTCCTAATTTATGTGTCGTATTTGGCGTTTGTCTATTAACAAGGAAAAATAAAAAACTAACAAAATTTACTAATAGAAATTTTCAGGGAATTTTCTCTTCTAATTCTCATTTATTCAAAGAAAAGTTACAATTAAACTTTCATTTCTCTCATCTAAAAAAAGAATGAGTGACGCAAAAAATACATATTCCATCAACTCTTATTCATTCGAAGTTTACTTACGCAAAATTTTTCTTCTTTTTTGTTCTATTCTTTTATAAAAGGAGCGCGCGATGAAACAAAATTTTTTCTTTCTTAATATAGAAACAACTTCAGAGATAAAATTAAATTAAAAAAAAAATCAACAATGAGCAAAGCAACTAACAGTTTAATCTGGGGCTATTTAGATATTAATGAAAATAATCAACATAAATAACATTACTAATAACAATAATCAAATAAACAACGCAACATTGCATGATTTTAGAGGCTTTTTATTTTTACTGTTTAGTTGTTCTAAATAATAAGTAAATTTAGTTCAAGTTAGTATTTCAATATTTACAGTTGGAATATAAAAAAAAAAAAAGATGATTAATGTTAAACTTTTTATTTAGTTATTTATTTTTTACCTACATTTGTTATAAAAAACTTTAGAACCCCCGTCATTAAAATAATTTGTTTTAAATATTTCTATGTGATTATTCAAACTAGTTTTTTTCGTTTGACTTCCCAAACTTCATGCAAAGCAAGTTCAGACGAAATATCGTCTAACCAAATAAAAATGCTGTAACTATTTATATACGGGTTATTATTATAAAACAATTTTTTATCAGAATCTTGATTGAGATAATAAATACTTCATGAATTATTAACATTAAATATAGCGCAATAACAATTTATAGTAATAAACGAGCATAAAATATTTGAGGTTCATAATATCTTTTTAAATGTTAAAATTAGAAAATAATTAACTAAACAAATAATGAAAAGATTTATGAACAAAATTAAAAATTTTTCCAGAGTTTCATTTTTTAAAAGTCAAATACTAAATTTTTTATGAATTATATGCGCTTCAGAGGAATCGATGAAGTCTGTAAATTGTGACTTATAATTTAAGACTCTGAGTTTATGAATAAAATGGAGAAGGCGAGCATCGGCTAAAACAACAACATTAGTTTTTCTCGGTATGCATTCATTATTTATTTTTAATTAAAAAAACTTGGTTCAACCCTTTTTTTTAACATTATCTTTAATATGAACGCAACATGTGTAGACCTCTGTCACGGTGTTAGCTCATTCGTAAGTTGTTTTATATTTGCTATGTTACTATTGTGTTATCATTGTTATGTTATTGTTGTGATTGTTTTTGTTTTGTTTGAACCTCTGGCGCAGTATTGCTTCACCCGTAATTGGTTTTATGTATGTTTGCGTTCTGTTTTGAGCTCTGGCACCGTGTAGGCTCATCCGTAAGTTGTTATATGTATATTTGCTGTGTTATTGTTGTGTGCAATCATTGTTATGTTATTATTGTGATGTTTTGTGTTGATAGACAACTTGGCTACTTTTGCATTGGTGTCTATTGTTAAAAATGATTATTAGGTATTTTCATTACTGAAATTCACTGCTTCTAATAATTCCCTTAAAGCAGAGAAATAAGTTTTAGAAATAAAAATGTATTTTTTTATGTTATGTTAACAAAAACATTCTCACAAATAAGGTTTATTATTTATTATTCATTTAGTCAGGTTTTTTTTAATTTTTCACATTAATTAAAACAACATATTTATGTGCAAGCAGTGATTTTGGAGAGTGTCTACTTAACAGAAGTTAAGGAATCTTATATTTTAAGGATTTTTTAAAAGCCAAGACGGAATACAGTTAATTTTCATACCATTTATTAAAAGCTATATAAGTATTGTTACATTTTTGTTATCCAAATTGTTATAATAATTTTAATAATTTTATTATAATACTGTAGGATTGTACTGTTATCCTATTTTATATTTATAATATATATTATTAAATCAAAAATGAAGTAGTGATTTTTTTGTAATAGTAAGTTAATAAGTCCGTCAAATAAAAACAATTTTTCTTAAAGAAAAAAATTCCATAAAAATTTTTTATTAGAGTTGCTCTGAGGTTGGTTGGGACCTGGGTCAAAATTTTATTTCTGAGACCATTTTCTTAGTAACAGCAATTTTTCTTTCAAAAATAGTCTCTATTGTTCAATTGCCTTTCCTCCCCCTCCACCTCTCTTTGTATAGCAGCTTTGAATTTTATTCAAAGTTGCGAGACCACTCTTATATAAATTGTTGGTTGTTGGTGTAATAGATCGTTTATTACATTATTATAAAAATATTACTATGACAATTGAAATCAATTGTAGAGCACAATAACTCTATAAATGTTTAAATAATAGCATTGTTTACTTAATGTTTTTATAATAGCATTGCTTACTTTCTAATGTATATAATCTTTATTTAGTTTTATTTAATAAATAATTTTTGCAAGTTAGATTTATCATGTTTATTTTTAATTGATCAATTGTTATTGATTCTATAATTTATGGCGGTAAACCATTCCAAGCTTCGACAATTCTACATGAAAAGAAATTAAATCTAGCATTACTCTTACAGTACGTCTACGTTAACTTTTGGTTGTTACCACAAAAATTTTAGTGCTTTAATTGAGCTTTACATATTGAGTTGTTTATCCAACTAATCTCCTCATAACCTTTTTGTATTTTATATTGAAAAATTCATTTTTTAATTATATTTCAATTAAATTAATTATATTTCATTGTTGTATTATATTTAATATTATGTCTGGATAACATTTTTCACTTAGTATTTATAGCTTCAATAACTAATGTTTTTATTGTCTCAACTGATAAAAAATCTTCTGCTTCAACAATATCAGGTTTTCCATCAGAATGTTTTGCACATATATGTTTTGCTAACCCACCCTTTGTCTTATAACACTTTTTTCACTTTTGACATAAGAATACAATCCAGTCTGAATAAATGATTATTACACTAAAATATTTTTGTACAATGTAAAAATATAATAAATGAAGTTTTATTTGCCTCGTCTAATGCTTCATTTAGATCGACTTCCAAATTCTTTCATTATCCAAAAGATCTACGTCCAAAAACATAAAATCTAAATCTTCACTACAAAAATATGTATCACCTTCAGCCATTTTAAATTAATGTTTGCACTTACTTTTATCATGTGGCTGTTATTTTTAAGGCATTCAAGTTTCACATAAAAATAATTACTCTAGATTTCCTGACTGGGATTACTTCTATTGACTATGCCCAAACCAAACCCTCAGTTTATGTAGCAACACGTCCTTCTAGCACCAGGCTATAAATTAGTCGATGTAGTAGCAGGCTATAAGATTGTTGATGTAGCAACACTCCGCGCATGTTTTACAGTAAAAAAACAACACTCTTTGCATGTTTTTCCTATTTTTCAGTCAAAGTAGCAATATTTCTTGCATGTTTTAAAAATGTTATAAAACAATAAAAAAAACAAAAGCAAAAACACCATTAAATAAAAAAAAAACGTTTTCTAGTCATCATTATAGTTTTTTTAAAAACGATAATACTTAATTTAAACTTAACTTCCATTTTAACTTTTGAAAAACATTAAAATGTCGCTTAATATATGCATATGTATATACCTACATATATCTTACAAAACAGGGTAGTTAATTTTAATTTATGAATATATTCTTGTAAAATATGTATGCGTTTCTTTTAAATCAATAGTTATATAATAAAAGAGAAAAAAATAATTTTTATTAGTTTTTTTTAATTTATTGTACTAATTTTTTTAGACCATAGCATTATTAATTATTGGTATATTGAGACTTGTATTTTTAGACCAAAGCATTCCTCCATTTAATGCCAGTTTAAAAGAAGATAGAAATGTATGGTTTGTTTTGCTTTCCGAAATGGTTGCTGGTAACAAAGCTTCACTTGCTTTAAGTGATCCGATGATGGTGGATGAAGCTGCAAACAATGTTTTTATTGCACAGGCATTATTAGCAATAGGATTCCCCTTGTCAATAGTTGCTGGTAATTCTTTTTGTTTGCTAATTTTTACTTATAAATAGTCTAGTCAAATTGATTGGGTATTGCCTAATTCAGTGGGATTATTCTTTTAGCAAAAACCAATTTTAGGCTTTAGAAACCTTTTTTAGGTGTTTGCAGATTGTCTAAGCGCAAGAAGGGCGAGATAGGAAGCTTATCTGATGAAACTCGAGAATCATTGCATATAAGACTATATCCCTGTGAAGGGCAACGCGCAACAGTTATGAGTATTACCTATGTCCCTGCAAATACTGAATTTTCAAGCACAATATGGTGTGGAATGGGATCTGGGGTTATTGTTGTTTATGAAACTGAAAAATGGGAACACTTATTCGAACTCAGGTGAACTAAAATAAACTATTTTTATTTTTTTAAATCCATTTTTTTCCTTTAAATCTTGATTAAGTAAGTCAACGCCTTAAATTACATTTTATTGTGCAATGTTTCTCTATTACATGTTACTTTATTATATATTGATTCTCCTACTTTATAATGTACACTTTATATTTTGTATTGATAATATTTTTATTTATTTTAGATAATAATATTATTATTTATTCGCTGACATATATATATGTATATATGTATATATATATATATATATATATATATATATATATATATATATATATATATATATATATATATATATATATATATACATATATATATATATATATATAATTACTCTTATGAAGGGTTTTTTAATTTTCTGATTCTAAACTCAGCTTTTTATATATTTTACACTTACAATTTTAGTCCTTTATTAAAAATTTTTTTTTTTACATCTTCGCTTCCAACAAGGCTACAAGCAACCACTAATTAGTGTTGGAAGTTACTGGAAGAGATAAGATGAAGGTTGTAGAGCAAGATAACGATCGACAGATGACTTAAAAGATTGCAAATTACATGAATCAGCAAGATGAAGGAAGCGAATTCCAAAGAACTAATGTTCGAGGAAAAAAACTAGACAAATAAGAGTTTTTGGAGCACTTAGGAACAGTAACAGAAAAAGGATGAGACTTAATTGAATGACGAGTAACAAGAGAATGAATTTTAGTAGATGGCACAAGAGACGCTAGCTCTTTAGAGCAGTGCCCATTATAGTATTTGTAGAAAAGAGAAAGAGAAGCAACATTACGACGATGTGACAGAGGTTGAAGGTTGGCTGCAAGAGCAGGTCCAACTATGTTTACAATGCGTTTTTGCACCTTGTCTAAAAGAGAAAGGGCATCATTAGAAGATCTGCCCCAGATATGGCAACAGTGTTCTATATAAGGCCGGATTTGAGATTTATAGAGATAGAGAATAGAATCCAGAGTAAGAAAGTGTCGAGCTCAATAAAGACATGCAACTTTAGCAGATGCTAGTTTTGCAACGGATTTCATATAAAGTTTCCAAGAAAGATCAGAAGTGAGAGTTAATCGTAGAAGATGAAGGGTAGATGACTCATCGAGTACATTACTGTTCATAAATATAGAAAGGTCTAAGTTATTGCGATAATGGTTGGCTGAAAAAAATTGAGTTTTATCTGAGTTAAAGTTCACCAGCCACTGTGAGCCCCATGCTGTAGCAGAAGTGAAATCCTTTTCAAGCTCAAATGCCCCCTGCAAGCAATCAGAGGGAGTTGGCTTCTTATCGTGACAAGAATAAATGGTAGTATTGTCAGCGAAACACTGCCACCTTAGATGTGAGAATATCTGGAAGATTGTTAATGTAAATTAAAAAGAGTATAGGGCCAAGGATTGAACCTTGAGGAACCCCTGAGGTTACAGAATAAGAAGAAGAGTGTTGTCCATAAAGGACAATTTTTATACTACAATTGGAAAGAAAGGATTCAATAATCTTAAAAATGTTTCCAGATACATTGTAAGTAGAAAGCTTATGATAAAGACCAGCATGCCAAACTTTATCAAACGCTATAGAAATGTCAAGAGCGATGGCCTTAATCTCTCCACCTTTATCTAATGCACGATAAAACCTATGGTTATTACTGACAGCATATCAGCCGTAGAACGAGAAGATCGAAATCCATATTGATGATCAGAAAGTAGGTTAAGAGATTCGAGATTAAGTGTTTGTTAATTAAAGATTCAAAAACCTTGCTTATGATAGGAAGAAGACTAATGGGACGGTAGTTAGATGAATCGGATCGCTCACCAGAATTTTTAAAAATAGGGATAACAGATGCTGCTTTCCAGCAGGCTGGAAAACAAGACTCTGATAAGCACTTGTTAAATAGTTTTAAATGGATAGACGACAGCTCCGGAGCTTAATATAAAAAAGCTTGCAAATGTTCATGACTAATTTAAAAACATTTTTGTGGACTTACTAGACAAAAAACTGTATGTATCTTGCACGTGTCTCCTGGAAAGACTTAGTGAGCTTAGGTTTTATCGTTTGAGTTAACTAGTTACATAAACATACTTAAAGTAAATTACGGGTGAATAAACACCGCGCCAGAGGGTCAGACAGAACGCAAACATACATATATAAAATAAACTTATGGGTGAACCAACACTTCGCCAGAGGTTCAGACAGGACACAAACATACTGATAGCAGCTTACAGATGACCACCAACTATATAAAAGGCACACACAAAAAATAAATATATATGTATAAAAATTACTATAGGCATGACTGATATTAAACAGCACTGATGACAGGAAGCACACTTATTCCAGCATTTGCTAATATAATATTAATCTCTTCTTATCGCACATATTTTCATTTATAATTAAATTTATGTTTAAAAGTTTAGTTATGAAGACTGTGGGTTTAAATCATTGTTATGATCAAATACTAAAGCTACATTTTAGGATGGTTTTATTATATAATTATTTATTTTCTAAAACTTCAAAAATACAATCTTCATTTTGAATTTAATTTTTCAAATTATTAAACAAATAGGGCACTGCTTATAGCCAAATGCAAAACACCTTTTAAATTGTCATTGATTATTTCATTTTATTAAATGTTTTTTTACTATTAATAGATTTTATCTATTCATCTGCTTTTTTTTTCATCTTTTTCTTCTCATTTTCTTTTTCTGTTACATTGATTCATTTTGTTGAGTTACTCTTACAGTTATTTTAGAGTTCTCTTTTAGAGTTACTTGTGAATATAGTAGCAATTTCGCAACATCTTGGTAACGGGTCACAACTAAAATTTTGCCCAACTTTTAAAACAAGATATCTCAGTCATTTTACAATTTTTTTTAAAACGGTTTTTTGCATTTTATAAACAACAATTTTAAGTGTTAGAAAAAATGTCTTTTAAAGTTTTTCGATTCCATTCCTTCTGACAAAATCGAGTCTTTTGTGTTCCGAGCTGAAGGTGCGGTGTATAAGGTCTTTGTCCAAATTACGAAGGCAAAGACTGACTCAAGCTTTGAGTTGAGTGATAGTTTTAGCCTGCCAGTTCTTCTCATACATTTTCTGCTTCAAAAATCCCCTAAAATCCTCAAATGGGCCTGACTTTCGGGACGTTTGCTGGGTTGTCTTGTTTTTGTACAAATTTGACTTTTTTGTCTCTGAGGTCGGCGTGGACTGAGTTTGCATAGTGGGAGCTAGCTAAATCGGGCCAGAATACGTATTTATCATCCCTATAGTATTTGTTAATAAAAGGAATCAACCTTTTTCGTATACACTCGTCACGGTAAATATATTGATTGATTGCCAGGCCAGACTTGAAAAATTTGACACTACTCATTCCTTGAGGTGAAACTGCCACCCAAACAAGTAGTTTTGACTCGTATTTTGCCTTCATTTTGTTCTTCACATCAGTAGGAGTCTTTTGAATATCATCTGAGTAAAATCGGTCATTCCCAGCTTTAAAATCATTTTCAAATTTATCTACATGATTTATTGATGAACTTGTCTAAGTCCAAAAACGATGACAGTCTAAGTCCAAAATTTCAAAGCGTTTTTTCAACATTTTAAAAATTTAGGGAAACTGTGAAAACAAAATGTGAATGTTTCATTTTTGCAAAAAATGAAAATAAAGATAAAAATTAATTTATAATTTATTATATTTGCCAGAAGACTAAAAATTTTTGTTATAAAAAATTAATACAAGTTACAGAATGTACTTTTAGAAAATTTCCCCTTAGCAACATCCTAATCAATTTTATTTTTTAAATAAACAACCATTGTGACCCAAAATAATTGAAAAGCTTGTTTTTTGAGCTTAGGTTTGTATTTTTTTCCTCGGGCAATTGTTGACTTTATTCAAAAAAACAAAAAAAAAACTTTTTTTACTTATTTAATGGTAAAACACCTTAAAAATTATCAAAAAATAAATAAAATAAAATACTTTAGTTAATTAAATAAAGATTTAAAAATACTGCAAATCCTATATATCATAAAATAAACTATTAATAAAAGAAAAAAGAAAAAAAAAAAGGAAGAAAAAAAATGAAATTTGCATTCTTAAATGAATGCAAGTTTCATTTTTTTATTATTTATTATTTTATTAATTACATTTATTTGACTATAAAAAAATTTACTAAGAACATTTTATTTTTAAACAAATTTTTTTTTCATAATAATACATGCATTTAAATTACTTTTTTTAAAATTATTTTTAAATTTATCAACATAATAAATTAATGAACGCGTCTAAGTCCGAACTACTCAACTTCACTTTTTGCAAATTTTTTAACTTTGATAAATTCTAATTCGGCATTTATGAACTAATTGAAAAATCAATTTTTCAATTTATTTTACCAACTTTTGGTTTTACTTATTCACTAAGACTTCGAATTTTTTAAGTATAAACCGGGTCGTTCGTAAAGCGCATAAATTTATTTTGACATATGTTTTTAATATGTGGGGTAACCCAAGGATCATACTTTTTTTTTGTTTTATTAATCTTGGGAATAAAATATGTGCAAAGTTGTGTTGGAAAGAGTGAAGTACGATTCATCATCCAAAATAAAATCGACATCACGAAATTTGAGGAAAAGTCGTCCACACTTTGGCCTTGCTAACTTGACTTGTAAGGCTGTCATCTTTGGTATGACAGTGCGTTTTAGACATCTGATATTTGTTCTTTGCAATAGCATCTTTGAAACGTATTGCTGAGTCGTTTTTATCTTGCTAGCTACTCTTTTCTGTGAGCAGCCCTTCCGATGATTGAAGAAATTTTTCATCTTATGTATGTTGTTTGCAGTCGCTATAGTGGTCGGAGGACCGCTTCCTTTTTTCCTAGTTAGTACTTTATTTTGTTCCAGCATGCTAAGCCAATGATTTAAAGTCCTTTTTGGAGCTCCCATTCTGATAAGTTTATCAAAAATATGTTTTCACCCCAGTCCATGGTTTTTTTGATAGTATTTATACAAAATGGATTTTAGATCTTCATACATTATAGCGTGATATTTTTTGAACTACAAATCATACGAACTATTTAAAAATATATTTGAATAGAGAATACTTTTGAGTATATTCTGTTAAAATTTTAAAAATATACACAAAGCAGATCTTTATTGACATTATCCCAAAGTTTGGGCAAAATTTTAGTTGTGACCCGTTAATGAAGATTCAGTAAGAATTTTCAATATGCATTTTTTTAGTGTTTTTTTCTTAAATCATGAATTCCTGCTCTAGCACCATGATGGGATGAAACAATCAAGACTGTTTGTAAAGATCATTGTTTTGGGGTTTGCCAATACTGAATATTTGCTATACATCTTGTTGCTTGTGCAAATTTTGCATCCATTTAACTATTAGATCTGACTCTGTAATACCAACTACTTTTGCTGCCTTGATTTAATAAATTATTATAATAAAATTCTTTTGTTGTCCATGACGACTATATCTATTAATATTTCCATGAAGTCAGAACGAATGATTGTCATCAGGTTAGAGAACAGTTTTGATTTACACTGACAATAATGATATTGTAAACTACGGTCTTAAACTTATAAAATTAATATAAATAAATTATTATCTTGAATAAACTTGATCCAACATTTGTGTTATGACTGTTTAGTCTAGCAGACCAACAAAAAGACAAGTTTGTGTTTCACAACAATAATGAAAGACACTCACATCAAATATAAAAGAATAACCATGACAAATAAGTAAATCCCGAGCATATAACACAATTGGGTGAATAGTAATACTATCTTTGTTCTCGCTGATCATTAAATAGCAACAACCTTTCATCACCAATCATTGAATAGCAACCACCCCCTTCCAGCAACCACCAAACTACTATATTTAAATAGTGTTCACCAATCGCTCTAGTTCAGTTTAAAGCATGGTTCATAGAAAGTCTTCCTTGTTACTTTTGAGTCAGACTGAGGTGCTTTGCCAAGAATCTGATCAGAAAACTGTGATTTTCTCTAACTGGATTAGGTAACTACATTAGGTGCAGTATAAACAGTTTTCAAGTTTTTATTAGCGTGCACACTTAAATGTTTTTAAGATGATGCGTAGACAGTTCTTTTTTTCTGATATCTTGTTTTTATTATTTTTTTATTTTTATTTTAATAAAATACTATTGCATTCTCCTCATCTTTTGCCAAAATTGAAAGATTGCTTTTTTTTTCACATTTTAGCACCATCTGAATAGCAATTATATGGTGCTAGCAATAAATACAATTCTAGGATCAACATAGTTTGCACTATTCTTTCCAGTCTACAAATCGGTTAAACTAAATGTTTAACCGATTTGTAGCATGGACATTTTTTTTTCAATAATCTGCAGCATATGCTAAATAATTTCATTCAATTCTTTTTTGTCTCTATAAAAAGCAGCTTGATATTTTGTTTTGCGTCCTAACCTGAGATTGAAATTCGGTCTCATTTTACTTTAACTATAAAAACAAGATTAAAAAGCATTTTGAATAATTTAAGTTATAATTTTTAAATTCTTTAAAAGTTCTGCATTTCAAGGTGCAACAAACCTACATTAGTACAGCTAAAAAAATCTGAACGTTTTTTATACAATCAATTTCATGAGTTTAACATTAAATAATTAAGAAATTATCACACTTTCAACAGATATAAAACAGTTTGTTCAAAAATTATTGCCATAAAACAAAACCTAGATTTTAAGGTTGTTAAATGGCAAATAAAATTTTCTGGGTCTGATGTTGATTCATTAAAGAGTGTAAGTGCAACAACTATTTGAATGATCATTAGAGATGTTTAAATTAACCAAAAAGATTTTTTCAAAAAAACATCTACATTTTAAAGTACAAGTACCTGCATATTTTATGTAATAGATGCTTAGGTGTTTATACCTAAACAAAAATTTAACCAGCAGGTAAATGATTATGATGGTTGTAATTAAATTTTTTTTATTTCTTTTATGATTTTTTTTAGATCAGCCAAAAGTCGTATAAGTTGTCTTAGATATGTTGCTATAAATCAAGTTTGGGCTGGATCATTTGATTCAGTCATTTATGTTATTAATACAGTTACTACCAAGCTTGAACAAAAGCTTCAAAGTCATTGCAGATCAGTTTCTGATATTGCAGTTGACGGTATGTTTTACAGGTTATTAGATCAAATAGTTACGTTATTAATAAAAATGTTATTAATAAAAGTTAGTAATATTTAGTATTTTTTGTAGCTATAAATTGTAGCTAAAAATTTATGATATATATGAGAAAGAATTCTATACAAAAGGAAATTGTTTTTAAATTTTTTTTTTCAGACTCTCCGGATACTTATTCCCTTATATGGAGTTCGGGTTTTGACGGACAAGTCTTTTGCTGGCATTCTGAAACACGAAAGTGTGTCACTTCTTTTAACTTGAAAGGCGTGCGAACACTAAATCAGATCATACCTACCAACGATGGTAGGTTGTGGTGCATTACACTAGACAAAATAATTGTAGTCGATGTATTATCTGATGAATGCCCAGTTTTGAAATATTTGTCTGTACCGAATAGGACAGAACCAGTGCATTTTTCTTGTTCCATGAAGTTTAATGATAAAGAAATATGGGTTGGATGTAAGTCAGAGGTGCGATTAGTAATTTGGAATACAAAAACTTTTACATGTGAGCAAGTTGAATTAGAATCGCGTATTCAAATCTGCAGTATGCTTTTTGCTGGAGGAAGTGTTTGGGTAGGCAATAAAGACGGAAAGATTTTTGTCATGTGCCCAATAACCAAAAAAATCATTCTTGAGCTTAACGCGCACACTGACAATGTTAAAAGCATTTGCGAGACACGAGAAGGAAATGTAGTAACTGGTTCTTCTTCTAAAGATGGCCAACTTTGTGTATGGAACACATTACTTGGATATGAGGTTATTGACGGAAAACGGATATATCGAAAAATGACCGTGTCTAATTTTATTTCGACTTTTGAATTAGTGGATAATTTTTTCGAACTTTAATATTATTTTTATAAAACGTCTGTATTTTTTTATTAAACATTTCGACAACTTTTTTTGTTATTAAACAACTTTTTGAAATATTTTGTTACATATTTTTTTACCTTTTAAATTTTTTTTTAGATTTTTAAACAGAATTAGTATTTGAAATTTTTTGGAAATTAAAATTATGTAAACTATAAATCGAATTTTAAGCAGAACATTTTACTATGAACGTAAAAATACAGGCTTCATTCGCTTTGCGCACATGTTTTCTTACTACTGAATTTAATTTAAATTGGTGAAGAAAAGAGTTTATTTAAATAAATTTAGACAACAAATTTTGTTACTGTTGTTGTATCATTACATCCTTTTGTTTTTCTGTTGTTAAATCAATATGACATAAGTGTGAAACATAATGTATGATGTAAATATGAAACATATTGACATGATATAGGTATGAAATATAGTTTTTTTTATTATTATTATTAGATATTTAAATGCTTCAAAAAGTCCTAACGGTCTTATCACAGAATACCGCGCAATAGCGTTTAACTAGGAAGTTCATGTCTCCTTTGATGTCACCAATGTTGCATACACTCTCATGTCACCAATGATGCATATATGACCAGAGCCAGTTTTAAGCCACGGACCTCTAGTTATGAAGCCAGAACTCTAACCACTACTATTTATTTATCTTAAGAAGAAAATCTCCTGGAGCAGAACATGAGTACAAGTTCTGTCATTAACAGCTAAGGTTTATTTTGCTATTGTTATTTACAATATTAATGTTTATTGTTATATGCTAACCCTGTTCTAAAAAAACTTTGATTTTTATGAAATACTGTTGAATCTTCGAAATTATTTATTCGATTGGCAACTCTGTTGGCGAAAATGCTCTGTCTTCAAACGCAATCTTTAACAGTTTCACGACGTAAGTGTTTACGATGTGAAATATAGACATTTTACATGGTAAACTTGTTGAACAATAAATTATGGTTGAGCTAGTGAACATTATCTTAATTATTTTAAACTTTTTATTGCACAAAAATATATGTGTGATCTGTTTGGGCTGCAACTGCTAATATAGTTTTTCTTGTTATCTCAGTGTTTCTTGTCTGCTAATACAGTGTTTCTAATTATAGAACTATAACCGTAGTTTGATTATTTCTTTAGGTTAAATTATTTAATGATTAAAATTTTGGTTTTATTGTATGTGTATATATATAATTTTCACTGTTTTATTATCTTTAATGTTTATTAGTTATTTAGTAATTAGTAGTTAAATTACACGGAAGGGACCCCTCAGCCTATCAACAGCTAGCTGGGCAAGCAAGTGGGTGATTACACGAAAGATGGTGTGCTGTGTTAATTATAGTTGTAGTTGATCAACTTTAGTTTTAAAGCAGTCAACATTGGTAGCACTGACAACTTCGTTTAGTAGTGCCTTCCATGGGTAAGCAAAGCGGTTGTTAAAAAAGTTGAAACAAACGAGGCAATAGTTCTCAATTTAAGGATGAAAATGCTTGCGACAACCGCAGCTTGATGAAGTGTTAAGAGGAGCAATGGAGAATTTAATGTATCCTATTTTGCAATTAAAGCACTTCATTTTGTGTGATAACTTGACAACCCGATGCTTGAAGATGCTAATTATTTTATATTTTTTTTACAATTATTACGGTTTATGATGTACGGTTTATTACAATTATACGGTTTATTGCAATTATTATGTATAGTTAAAATGTAGTCGGCATATTAAATTAATTTATCAAATTTTAAAAAGTCATTCTAAGTAGTTTGGTATTTTTTGTTATTACTAAACGTAAATAAAAGCTTTTAGATTTTGTCATATTAAACGCTTATATAAAGCTTATATAAAATGCTTATATAAAGCTTTTAGATTTAGTTTTAGTATTTAAGATTTAAAACAAGTTGGAAATATTACATTAACTAAAGAAGAAACACTTACAGTTATGCATTCAAAATTTTGTTGGAAACAATCTAGTTTTTTTGTGATGAATTGAACCTGGGAACAATATAGAAAATTCTTGTAACGTTAAAGTTACATTGCACACTAAAAAAAATGTAAAAATTTTTACCTTAGGGTAGAATATGTGATATACCATTTCTAAGGTATAACTTTTTAACTTTCTACCTTTTAAGGCTGAATATTATACCTTTAAGGTAGAAATTTGTATGACAAATCATTGCTTTTAATACTAGGGTTTATAGCTTTTCATACCCTAACGTAGAAATTTCTCCTTTTTTTAGTGTGAAGATAGGAGCTCATTTTTGAAATTTAACGAGCATGCTTTCCGTATGTCAAGCTCACATAATAAAGCCTTTGGCTTGGCAATAATAAATAACCCTAATAAAGCTTTTGATAAAAGGTTTTGTAAGTCTATTACATAGAAGTCACTAAAAGTAATTTCTATATAACAATATAAAATTTTAAAAAAACTAAAGATTACAAAGAAGAAACTAGAAAACTAAGCGGCCGTGGCAAGAGTTCTTGGGATCGAAGCGAGCTCGCGGTAAATCTCTTGCCATCGGTAAAAATGGAGGCGTAAACTTTTACGCCTCCATTTAAGTTAAATGCTCTTTCGCAGTGCTCTGTGACATGATCGTTAGGCCTTCTTGTGGCACCTAATATAAAAAAAAAAAAAACTAAAGACAAACTTTTTAAAAATTTAAAGTTATTAAGTTTGTTTAACACTTTAACGTTGTTTAAGTTTGTTTGTTTAAACAGATGGTCTTGCATAAGTACAGTGATTACCAATTTAACAATTTAAAATGGATTTGGAAGGAGTATTAGCTCTTTTTATTGCAGTAAATAAAGTTTTAGGCTTTTCTTTGAATATTTATCTTGAGCGCAATTCTAAAACTAGTTAATAGCATAATCGAAGATGTTGATCAACTATTGCAATATCGTTTGGGCAAGTACATACTCTTCAGTACTAAAAAAGATATATGTAAAACAAAAGCCAGCGTGTCTAATTGTATGCAATGCTAACAGATATACCTATGCCAAACCAATATTCAGGGAAATTGGAGCTAAATGTTTATGAACTGAGCCTTCTCCAAAATGTATTATTTATGTCTCAATCGCAAAACAATTTACTACCAAAATACTTGAAAATTAATTTTCCACCATTGATCACAAATACCTAACAAAGTACTCTTTTCAAAACTTTAACATTCCAAAAACTTTACTTAAACTAACTGATTTCTCTATCTTATGTCAAGGACCACGTCTATGGAATTCGATCCTTCAATCTTTTCAAAGCAGCTGTCGAACAGCACCTATTTAACTTAAGTGACGTCAACATATTCTCCTACTTTTAGAGATCAAATTAATAATAACTAAAACGAACTTATCCCTTTTGGATGACCACAAACGATGATTATATCACAATACAAATAGTTTTTCTTTTCTATACCCATCTATCAAATCGTTACGAACAAGGCTTTTTTACGTTCAAGGCTAAGTATTTGCTTTATTTCTACTTATGAATTTTTAATGTCACGTTAAGCTCACTTGAAACTTATTGCAAAGTTGCAAATGAAAGAGGCTTGATGATAAGACTGCAGTCTTCTACTTGCTCCTGTCATTATTTTAATTTTTATCTTATTTATAAATTTATACATGAATTAAAGTTAATTGTATATAAAATATATAGTGACAAAATAAATTAAAATTAAAAAAAATATATATTTCTAGGCGAAGAGATAACATCTTTTAATGAATAAAATTTGAGCCAATAATTAAAAACATCATTAAAAAACAATAAAAAATATCATTACTACTTGCCTGCAACAACTGGATGAGCTTTAAAATCAAAACCTGTTTTTAACTTCAGAAGTGAAGTTTGAAACTTGAGAAACTTCACGTCAGAAACTTCAGTAGCAAAGTTTCCAAGATTAATTGATATTATGTTTTGAAATTTATCGATATTAAAATACATGTTGAAAGATATTATGTTTTGAAATTGTCCAAAAACGCTTTTTTTATTAGTTTTTCCGCCATAATGGTCTGCTTAGTTTGTTTTTATGTCTTTTTTTAATTTAAATTCTTTGAGAAAACTATATTTAAAAACAATTTTGTTTTGGTAGTTTTTTTCAGTTTTTTCTAACTTGGTGTTCTACCACAAAAGACTACTTTTGTGGAGCAAAGATACATTGTAGAATGCTGTAACTTTGTAATAATCTTTATAAATGCTTCATTAATTACCTATAAAAAACAAAACACCCGTCTCTAATACATTAGCGAAAATAGAATAGAAATAGAGAAAATAGGGTTCATTTATCAATTTTATCTTCTTTTTTTTTTGCTTTTTTCTGTTCTGTGCATGACTCCATTAAAAAATTAATTTATTCTTTAATGAAGTGACCCATAGCTACCATTTTTTATAGCAATTGTATACATAGATGTTGTTTAAACAAAAGTAAGATTACAAAGTGCATTGTTTTCAAAATAACTAATGCAACAGATCCAATGTTCCTTGCTTGATTTTTTGGAAATACCCGACTATTAGTGATTTTGTTATTGTAAGTAATTACTTTTAATCGGATGTAAATACATAAAAAAACATTTCTTGTATTTTTCTTATATTTCTTAAACATATATATATATATATATATATATATATATATATATATATATATATATATATATATATATATATATATATATATATATATATATATATATATATATATATATATATTTATATATATATATATATATATAATACAATTTTGATTTGTTACACACGTGAAATTCAATGTTTTTTTTAAAAAAATAAAATCATTTTTAGGATAGTTAAACCGCGTATTCACTGGCTTTAACATCCTCCTCCCTTGAACGCGTTCGTACGCTTTTCGGAAATCCCCCTTTTTTCGAATTGCCACTTTTCGATGTTGATTCCTGTATAAGATTCATTTCTTTTTCTGTGAGTCCAGGTGAGTTACTGCAGTAGTTGTTGCTGCTTGCAAGAATTACTATTTTATCTAATGAATAGGATTCATGTGATTTTTTCATATACAATCTTTTCATATTCGATTTTTTTCTGTTTCATTGCCATTTCGGTTCAACGTTTTCTTCATTCTTATCAACTCCCATCATTTTTACCTTTCGACCTTCCCTTTGTAACTTTAGAAAACCTCTATCCTCCTCAGGATAGTTACTAACTCATTTGCATGCGCTATATCAAAGAGTGTATCTAATTTTTTATTTCATTTATTCTCTTTCTCTAAGGAGAACTTTGATTTTTTTTTGTTTTGCTTTTCTTTAACAAATTCCATTCAATATACAGTTTATTTGATTTATTCACAACATCGCATTTCAGGGAGGTTGGTATTCCTGCTCTCTTCCACATCTCTAATACATCATTAACAGTAGAAGTTAATGCTTCTCTGTCAGTTTCTTTGCAGAAATTTTTATAATGCATTAAAAGAGATTACTTCTCTTTTTAATGGTAGGCAAGTTAGATTCATTTTATCTATTTGTTAACCTATCAGCCAAATATCTGTTGTATTTCTTGTTTCCATTTTATATCACAATTATTAAACAGCAAGTAATAAGTAATAATACAAGCAGAAAAATTAAAACTCATAAAACATGATTTTTCTCAAATTTTTAAAATTTTACTTATTTTTAATGGAAAAGACGGTAAATAATTGTTACGAATACGATTCCCTCTATACAATTATTTCTAATGCTTGCTCGGATTAACAATTAGCAATTGCGGAATACTTGCCTTAGAAACGTAAGATCCGTGGTTCAAACCCACCTCTGGGCAAGTTTTGCGACAGCGGTTAGGAAGGAGGCGTGAACTTCCTATTAAATGCTCTTCCGCGGTGCTCTGTGATAAGACCGTAAGGACTTCTTGGTGCACCTAAATCAACAAAAAAAAAAAAAAAAAAAAAAAAAAAAAAAAAAAAAAAAAGGAATAAGCAATTCCCTTTAGAGAATTACATAAAAACTAATTGCGAAACTATTCCTTTGAGAAACTAATTACGTACGATATAAAATTATAATTAATAATAAATTAATATAGAATGATCAACAAGAGTTAGTCAACAAACCTGTTGGCCTATTAGTAACTGTGTTATAACAAACTCATAAAACATGATTTGCTCAAATTTTTTTAAATATATATCGCTTGGGCAAAACAGTTTTTATGACAGTTACTTGAATTCCCTGACCCGGAATACCCTCTGCGAAAGTAAGAAAGTGATGCAAAATCCATTATTTCAAAACAATATTAGGACATTAAAAAAAACTCAGCATACCTTTGCAAAATGTTTTTAATGTTTGTTTTTATTGACTTTCCGCCAATTCGTGATAACTGTGTTTGCCCTAGTCCTAAACAATTGAAACAGAAACAGAGACTCTCATTTGTCAGAGGATATTTATAACCTTGTCTACGTTTCACCTCTTGGTGATTTAGCTTTTGTGCTAAAGAAAATAAATAAGAAATATGAATTAAAATAAATATACAAAAAAAAAATAATTGTAAATAAAAAAAGTGGTAGTTACATGATTAAGTTTTAATTACTAATATTATAATAGTTTAAGAAATTTTTACAAAACTTTATTTTCCATAAAAAATGTTCAAAATTCAAGTGTTGCAAATATTCTCTTTTTTATGTGCATGTTGAAAATCACGTAGATATGTGTTGAAAGTCACGCGTTGTTTCAATTGTAATAAAAAGTGTTCTCATGGGACTTTTTGTTGTTTTATATATATTTAGAAACGATTGTTGTATAGAATTAGTGAGGTTAAAAGAAAGCTATAAAATAATACGTTTTGTTTATTTAATTCATGGACGCGACGAACCAACAAGCTATTTCGGCAATTATGCCACCGGTATTCGATGGCAACCATCGGCGGTTTGTCCGCCAACTACGTAAATACATAACTGCAATGGACGTACCCGAATCCAAAAGGAAAACAATAATATTAACATATTTGCCACCACAGATTTATTCTGCACTGGAAGATTTATGTTTGCCTGCATACCCAGAAGATGTTTCAGTTACCTACGAAGACATCGAGGAAAATATCATGAAAATTTTTAAACCGAAGTCATCGTTAATACTGCGCTTTGAATTTGCAACTATAAAAAAAGCAAGTAACGAAAATGTGACGAAATTTTCACGACGAATCGCAAGAGCTGCTGAAGGATGCAAATTCACGGATAGAGATGATCGAATGCGCGACCAATTCATCACGGGTTTTGACGATGGTGTTACAATCAAACGATTATTACTGGAATCTGAAGAACTAACGTTTGAAAAGGCTGTGAAAATTGCTGTTACCCTTGAACGAGTAACCCAGGAAGCTCGACAATTAGATGGTTCCGATAATGTAATGATTGCGGCAACATCGTTACTTCCGCGGACATCTAGTGTGTCCGACACGAACAAAGTTACATGTTTCAATTGTGGGAAACTTGGACATTTTGCACGGGACTGCGAAGCAAAATGCAAGACTTGTTCACACGATCATCAAGCTAAAGACTGCTTCAAACGATTGCAAAGTTTAAAAGAAAAAAGCGAGAATTTGAAAATAATGGCATCCAGTATTCTCCCAGAAACGAGTTTGCCATCATTAAAAGTGAAAATAAATGGAATGCTCCGAACAGCATTAATTGATTCTGGATGCTCCATCACTGTGATTCATGCTAAATCCACGCATGTTTTAGTTTTAAAAAGTCAAAAACTTATCACAATTTTGGGAGGAGCTGTGCATGTGCTAGGTGAAACGGTAATCAAATTGGAAATTGATGGAATACACCGGATTGTTAATTCTCTGGTTGTAAAAGAAAAACCATTCGGGTTTGATTTGATTTTTGGAATGAATGCGATTGAAAAATTTGGAGGAGTCATCATTTATGGTAACAAAAACCGTACTGTTCGAATGTTAGCATGTGACACAGCGAAATGTGGTGCCGTTACTAAACGATAAAAAACAAAAACGAAATAAACGAAATAAAATGTGATGTCAAAAATACAAATGAAGAAAACAAAAGAAACGAAATAAAACGTCAGGACTTCGCAGCAAATTTTGATGGGAAAAAGTGAACGGCATCATGGAAACGGAATAAAGAGCCTGTAATTGATAATACCATTTGTGAATACAAGATAAGCCACGAGTACAAGCGTAGTTACCGCAAAGAAATAAATGAATGGATTAATTCTGGCATTCTTGTACCATATAACGAACTAACGTTGGGACCACCTAAAGTATTGATACCGCTAATGTGCGTAGTGCAAGAAAATAAGGACAAAAAGGTACGTCCAATAGGAGATTTTCGAGCTTTCAACGAATTTGTAAATTGTCATACAGCGAATGCGGACGTTTGTCAAGAAAAACTGCGTTGTTGGAGAAAAATTAAAAAAGCAAAAATTCTTGATCTTAAAAAAGCCTACCTCCAAATTCATATTGATAAAAGACTCTGGCCATATCAAACGGTGATTATAAATGGGAAACGATATTGTTTTACTAGAATGTGTTTTGGCATAAACGTGGCTCCAACAATAATGACCACAATTCTTCGACATGTGCTCAATTTAAATCCAACTGTAAATAAAGCATGTGATAACTACATTGATGATATATTTGTGGATGAAAGTCTGGAAACTGCGGAAAATGTAGCGAAGCATCTGCATAAATTCGGGTTACAATGTAAACCTCCACAAAATCTTGAACAAGGACGTGTCTTAGGATTGAGAGTCGAAAAAAATAAAAATGGGGAACTGATATGGAAACGAGACAATGTGGTACAATTTGAACCTTTAAATGTAGTCACACGATCGCAGCTTTTTAGCAAGTTAGGTAAACTCATTGGACATTACCCAGTGGCAGGAAGTTTGCGTTTACAAGCTTTATACATCAAACGTTTAGCTGGAAATATACCTCGGTGTGATTTTATTTCAGAAGATTGTAAAGAAAAACTGAAAGATTTGCTTCACCGTGTGGAAAAGGAGGATCCGGTTGGTGGAAAATGGTTGGTACCAGTGAATGGAAAAGCTGAGCTTTATTGTGATGCATCATCCATAGGACTTGGGGTAGTTCTGCTCATTGGTGGAGTAGTTGTAGAAGACGCAGCATGGCTACGGCCAGCAAGTGAGACACACCATATCAATATAAGTGAACTGGATTCAATACTTCGAGGACTAAACTTAGCTAGTAAGTGGGACATAAAAGAGTTTACATTATACAGTGATAGCAAGAGCACCGTCGGATGGTTAAACTCAGTTTTGAAGGAAGAATATCGCGTAAAAACTCGTGGAATTTCTCAGTTGTTAGTACAAAGACGGTTAAATACTATTAAGGAAGTGGCAAAAAGTCTCCAGATCAATGTACAATGTATGGATGTACTCATCCAGTACAATGGATTCTATTCGACATAA